CGTGATCACCATGGTAGCCGCAGTCAATGGAATTGAAAGTTGATATGGATTCACATACGAATGCGTCGTCGCCTTCTCATTGGGGAGCACATTGAAAAAGTGCTCTAGCATGACGAGCTGGGTGATCTCCGGGAACTTGACTTGATGGGAGTTGAGCCAGTTCTGGGTGGCCCTTGTGATGCCACGGTGTATACCCAAATATATCAGAGCTGCTGCAGAAAGTGCGGGCCGTCTGTGCACGCTTTTGGCGTTCTCACCCTGCTGCTGCTCGTCTGTCTACGCTGCAGCATAACTTTGGCCTTCCCGCTCACCGCCTCATAAGACTGTGCGAGCAGCAGCAGGCGATAGTGGAGTTTCAGATGAAGCATGCACGGGTCAGTCGTTCCGCGGAACAGTTTTTTTTTTTGCATGTCCCAATATTTTGGGGGCTACCTCAATTAAAATAAAATATAAAAAAACAGTGTTGACTTCCTCCTCCTCCTCCACTGCCGCTTCCTCAACCTATGGGTCAGTCACTTAGTATAAACTACGTACACAATAGCAGAGGCTTGTGAAGGACTTTTCTACATGCATCAGGAGTTGAGCATTTTTCCATGCATCAGGACTGCAAGAAATGCACCGCAGGGCGCAAATGTTTCTTTTTTTATATGTCCCAATATTTTGGGGGCTACCCCAATTAAAATAAAAAATAGATATATATAAAAAAAACAGTGTTGGCTACCTCCTTCTCCTCCACCGCCGCTTCCACCTACACCGCCACGATCACTGCCTCCTCAACCTGTGGGTCACTTAGTATAAACTATGTACACAATAGCAGAGGCTTGTGAAGGCCTTTTCTCCATGCATCAGGAGTTGAGCTCAGTTTGAACAATTAAAGGTTGCACTCCAACCCTCTCTTAAATGGATAATTCTGTTGATCCTCCTGACAACCATGCTTTAGATTTTGATTTGTGTTCTTCCAAAGCTAAAATCAAAGATTCCATCTAGTGCTATTTTATGGATCGGCTGTATTTTACTTCCTTTTGCAGCTCTCTAACCCTTTCCAGGAGTTTTTTTAGAGGCATTTGACTTCAATGGGGTTCGGGTTCAAATTCTATCACGAACCCGAACTTTTTTTCAAAGTTCGGCCGAACCCGCCGGACCTGAACATCCAGATGTCCGCTCAACTCTAGCCACGAA